ATTCAATCGATGGTTTTCTTGATAGTAAACCGGTAGTCTCTTGTGATCAACGTTTTGATAGCAGCAACTGGACCCATTATGCGTTCTAGTTATTACTGATCGTGGGCGCTTTAGTACTTATCGTTTTTCTTTTTTATGTTTATAAACGGTGCCGCACAATACTGAAACTGGCTGAACAACAAGAACACGCCTCACAACGTGCTCCCACACACATCTCTTCCATGACGCCCGCTTATCCACCACCCTATGCTCATATACCTAATTCGTCAGTACATCAACCATTACAACAATACGCATCGTTATTACTTTCACCAACCCGTGAACCAACAACATCTCCACTTGCTCCACCAACTTCAATCGTATCATAAACACTTCTTTATTCTCATCTGCCGTATTGGTCTTTCTTACTTCTTTCTATTTCATGTTCATTATTACACATTCATAACTTTCTTTTCTACAGCTCATTATCTAATATTCTGCGTTTAATTCATTCGCAATTCGTATTGTTTTTTTCTTTATTTTCTCTCGCCTCTATTTGTTTTTGTATACGATTCACTTTTATTTGAAACTTATCTCTTTTGTTGTACTCTCTATCTTTTCTCGGTGGGGGAGGTGTTATGTCAGTGGAGCCATCTCCTGACATAAGAAGGATATATCCCTCTATAATATCAGAGTGGAACCGGAATGGCTGAAGAGAGATAAGAGGAACATCATCATTGTTCGGTGTTGTTGTTTTTCGGGTTTGATTCGAATAAACAAGCGAGAAAGGAGCGTAACAAATTGGTGCACTGGCCGGTTTTGTTTAATATCTGCATTAATATTGTATGTTAACTCGACAAGGTGCAGCACAACTTATCGCATCCGAATTTGCTCGATTATCTAATATTGATATTAATTATCCTGATCGTTCGAACGTACATCCTGTAATTTATCGTCTAGCAGAATTAATAATGGCAGAAAAAACAATTGCAACACTTTTAAGCAAAACTTTAGAACAAACACCTAAATATGCGGGTAAACACGATCAAAATGCTGATGAATGGCTAAACGATCTTATTGCAACATGTCGTATGGCTGATATAACTGAAGCACATGCATTAAAAATAATACCCACATTTTTGGAAGGACATGCTAAACAATGGTATTCGGACAACAAGGAAACATTTGAATCTTGGACTGTATTTAAAACTGAATTTATTCGAACCTATTCTTCACCAACAACAAAACAATTAGCGTCAAATCGTTTACGAACTCGTTTACAACACTACGATGAACCTGTTATTGAATATTATACTGATATTATGAAATTATGCAAGTTAGTTGATCCTAGTGTGACCGATGCATCGAAACTTGATCACCTATATCACGGTTTATAACATTCATTAATGAAAGAAGTTTTACGTCAAAATCCACCAACACCATCAGACTTTTTAGAATATGCACGGCGAGAAGAAACATTGGATCGTCTTGTTACTATGTCTGTTCATCATACCAATGATATCATTGATGCCAATACACCTCATAATGCACCACTTCATCCTGCACAAACAGCAACATCCATATGGTACCACACTTCTCCGAACACGTCTTATGCTTGGCACCCACCACAAGCAGCTCAGTATCAATCATCATATCCTTCAAATTATCAGCAATCATCAACACACAATAATCCTTATATTTCAAACACATCGTTTAATGATTCATATCTTCATCGACGTTCTGTACGATATTACCGTTGTCACAAGCTGGGCCATATTGCCCGTGATTGCCGAATTGCAAAAAGCTAGTAAGGGAGTCAAATGATGGTAGTGACTCCCACCCCTCACAGCCATCGTTATCTTATTCATCCACAACTCCTGTCTATTCATCACCAAAATTCACAACATATTATCGGCAAAACTCGTCTTATTATTCTCCTACTCGTAAACCTCAACCAATTACTGATTATTTCAAACAACGTCAAGTTCAATCTATCGGAAAACACCGTATCGTCAATAAAAATACTATCACAACTAATTCTTCATTAATTTTTATTAACACTCTTATCAATGGCAAACCCATACGAGCCATGATCGATACGGGCGCTTCTCATTCATTTATTACACAACGTGCATTACGTACACTATCCTATTTCCGATTACCATCATGTGAACGTGCAGCACAATTAGGTGATGGTCAAACAACACTTAAACTAGTTGGTGAAGTTCAGCTATTACTACAATTTGATCAAGTTTTTACACCTGTAAATGTTCTCGCCACTCAAACCATGAATACTGATTTTATACTTGGTGGTGATTGGTGTACAAAAAATAAAGTAAAAATTGATTATGCCAAGAGTCAAGTATCACTATGTACAAAACTTGGTCGTATTTTTATCCCGTATGATAAACACATCGATTATTTAAGTTTAGAGATCAAATCAATCAATGTAATTCATATACCACCACGTAAATTTTGTGTTGTTCAAGCCAAAGTTGAATTATCATCAGCTAATACTGTATATTTTTCTCCTGCTGACACTACATTACTTGAAAAATCTGTTATAATGTCACCAGCTTTATTACACGTAAACAACTACACAACCTACTTGGAGATATACAATCCTCATGATACTACATGTACATTACCAATGAATACTCGTTTAGGCCAAATTACTCATACACCACATAAACTTCAACCGTGTGTAGTATTTGATCCATCTCGTTGTCCGTCATCATGGTCGTCTCAACATCATGTCATTAATACAATCGAACTTAAATAAACATCATCTAACACCTGTAAAATAATAGATAAACTGCTGGATCATATTACCAATTGCCAGGACAAATACCAACTACGTCACATACTTGAACAACACATTAAAATCTTTGATATTTCAAATGTTACACAAGCAAATACATCTGTTCAACACATTATTAACACCGGTGATAGTCTTCCAATCAGTTCAAGACCATATCCAAGAACAATCCAACAACGACATGAATTTCAAGCCGAACTTCAAAAAATGTTGCAAGCTAACCAAATTCGTCCATCCATTTCACTATGGTCATCTCCAGTCATTATTCACAAAAAAAAGGATGATGGTATTCGTTTTTTTTGGTGGATTATCGAAAATTGAATTCCGTCACAAAAAAAGATTCTTTTCCTCAACCAACAACTAAAGAATTACTACATCGCTTATGTGGTCATTGTTTTTATTCAAAATTAGATCTTAAATTCGGTTATTTCCAAATACCCATACACGAAGCTGATAAAGAAAAAACATCATTTATTACACAAGATGGACTATGGGAATTTAATGTACTTCCACAAGGCATTATGAATGGACCACCAACTTTTCAAAGAACCATGCACAATCTTCTTGGTTATGGACGATGGGATTATGTCATGGCATATTTAGACGACATACTTCTTTTTTCACGTACTTTTGATGAACATGTTAAACATTTAACTGAAATTTTATCTATATATTAGCTGAAGCCAACTTTCAAGTCAATCCTGATAAATGTTTTATTGCTGTTCAAGAAATAGATTTTTTGGGTCATACAATCAATCAACACAGTATAAAACCTAATGGTGAAAAAATTAAAGCTATTGTTGATTTACCATCTCCTAAAACCCTTTAAGAAGCAAATGAATTTTTAGGAAAAATTAACTGGTATCGCAAATTCATTCCTAATTTCGCTCGTATAGCTGCACCACTACATAAAGTAACCAACAAAAAAAGACATCGTCGACATGAATTTAGATGGGGACCTGAACAACAACAATCCTTTGAAGAATTTAAACATATACTAACAACATCTCCTTTATTTTTAGAATATCCAGATTTGTCAACTCCATTTACATTAACAACTGATGCATCAGATATTGGCATTGGTGGAATTTTAAGACAAAATACACCAGCTGGAACCAAGATCAATTATTTTAAATCTCGTGTCTTAAATGATACTGAACGTAAATATGATATATTTGAAAAAGAAGCATTAGCTATTTATTGGTGCATTACCGAACTTCGATCTTATATAGGTGACTCTAATTTTATTGTCGAAACAGATCATCGACCACTTGAAAATTTCCACCTTAAACAAATCAATAATAAACGTGTTATGAATTGGATTTTTAAATTACAAGATATATTACCACAAATTATTGCAGTCAAATATTGTAAAGGTGCAAACAATACAGCTGCAGATTATATTTCACGGCATCTTCCTTCATCAACATCTGTTGATACTACACCACCTGGTCCAACTGATACACCTCATTCTCATATGTGCGATAATGCTGAAC